TGATGTTTCGGGCCTAGACCCGTTTTCTGAAGAAGGGTCTAGGCCCGAAACGTCAGCCTTCCTGCTGCTCTGATGCTGCTCGGCCTGCTGTGTTCATCCAGCTCTACACCTTGTTATCGCAGATTCTCCGGCATCTGCAGTTCCTACTATCTCTCCCAGGCCATTCTTCAGTTAGAATATCCATAATCATGAGGTGCATAATGCACAGTCAAGGGCTATTGAGTTGGAAATGAGTGAAAGGACTTCCAAAAAACACCTGATCTGGGGATAGCAGTAATGTTGAGGAGACTAAAAGTGAATTCCGGAGAGCTGTGGCTCTGTTTTGGTCCCAGGAAGTGAAGGAGCCTTCAAGGAAAAGAGCTCCCACATTTATGGGGGAAGTCGCTGTTGAAAGGAAATGATTGAGCTGAAGATTTCTGTTTTGAAATACGTAATTTCTTAGGTTATCAGTAATATTTTACAACAAAAGTGTTTATTTTCTCTTGCGCTGGAGGCTCGGGAAATCAGGGAAATAAATATTGATGTTTTGTAAACAGTACACAGGAATTGCTAGAGGCCTTAGAAAATAAAAGTGGATTAATCTCTGGGACCTGATCGAGTGTATTCCAGGACGTTGTGGGAAGTTAAGGAGGAAGTTGCGGGGCCGCTTACAGAAACCTTTATAGCATTTATACCTACGAGTGAGGTGTTAGATGAGTGAAGACTTGTTAACATTGTGACTTTGTTTAAGAAGGGATGTAAGCAAAAGCCTGGGAACTATAGACCTGTGAGTCGACTTCGGTAGTGGGTATGTTCTTGGAGGTGATTCTGAAAGATAGGATTTACATGCATGTGGAGAGACGAGAAATGATTAGGGATAGTCAGTATGGTTTTGTGTGAGGAAAACCATGTCTCACAAACTTGATTGAGTTTTTTGAGGAAGTTACCAAGAATATTGAGCACAGAGCAGTAGATTTTGTTTATTTGGACTTTGACAAGATTCTGCATGGGCAACTAATTGGTAAAGTTAAGTCACATGGGATTCAAGGTTAGCTTGCCAATTAGCTTAACAGCAGGAGACAGAGTGGTGGTGGAGGGTTCTTTTTTGGACTGGAGGCCTGTTACCAGCAGTTTTCCACGGGGATCGGTGCTGGGTCCACTTTTGTCATTTATATCAATGATTTAGATGAGAATACTGAAGGCACGGTTAGTAAGTTTTGGATGACACAAAAATTGGTGGCATAGTGGACAGTGGAGAAGATTATCTAAGAGAGATCTTGATCAGTTGGGTCAATGGGCTGAGGAGTGGCAGATGGACTTTAATTTGGATAGATGAGAGATATTACATTTTGGTAGAAAAACAAGAGCAGAACTTATATAATTAAAAGTAGGGCCTTGGGTAGTGTTGTAGAACAGAGACTAAGGGTTAAAATACATATTTCTTTAAAGTTTGCATCACATGTAGACAGGGTGGTTAAGAAGACCTTTTAGTACACTTGCCTTCATTGCTCAATCCTTTGAGTCTCAGAGTTGGGATGTCATGTTGAGGTTGTACAGAATGTCAGTGAGACCTCTTCTGGAGTACTGTGTCCAGTTCTGGTCACCCTGTTATAGGAAGGATGTTCTTAAGCTGGAGAGGGTTCAGAAAGATTTGCCAGGATGTTGCAAGGAATGGAGGGTTTGAGGTGTAAGGAGAGGCTGGATAGTCTGGGACTTTTTTCACTGGAATGGAGCAAGTTGTAAGGTGACTTTATTGAGGTTTATAAAATCATGAGAGGTGTAGATAAGGGGAATGGCAGGTATCTTTTCCCTCGGCTGAGGGATTTTAAGATTAGGGGGTATATTTTTAAGGTGAGAGGAGAAAAACTTTTAAAAAGACATTGGTGGAAACTTCTTTACACAGAATCATTTGTGTGTGGAATGAACTTCCAGAGGAAGTGGTGGATGTACAGCTACAGCGTTTAACAGACATTTGGATAAGTGCATGAATATGAAATATTTGGAGGGACAGGGGCCAAAGCAGGCAGGTGGAACTAGTTAAATTTGGGATTATGGTCGGCATGGACCGAGGGGTCTGTTTC